GCTTCACTTCTGCCTACCCCCGAGTCAGGCTTTGGGACTGGCTCTGAGGAGCAGCCTCTTCCTCCTCCTCAGAGGATTGCTGAGGGGAGACAGGAGGAGGCCAGTGAAGTCGCCACTGCTGGGAAGACGCTGCTCGTGACACACCTGAGCGTCACCCAAGGAGTCTCCCGTCTATCAACCTCCAAGCACCTGGAGTGGGGCGGGGGCTGGGGTAACTTCAAAGGAAAGGAGGCATGAGTGGAAGGAGCACAGCTGGGTCCCTCTGGTTTCTCTTGTGGGGGGCATGGGGCCTGCAAAGACAAATGAGGCTCTGTTCCGGCCCTGCAAGGGCTCCCTGCCTAGGAGGAGGTAAAGACAAGTCAGGGCTCTAATGCCATCAGAATGGAATGCTGTGAGGGATTCCTCCACCCACCGCGATACCAACTGGCTGGCTCAGTTGGTAAAGCATGTGACTCTTGATCTCAGGGTTATGAGTTCGAGTCCCATGTTGAGCATAGAGCTTACTTTTTTTTTTTTTTAAGATTTTATTTATTTATATGACAGAGAGAGACACAGCAAGAGAGGGAACGCAAGCAGGGGGAGTGGGAGAGGGAGAAGCAGGCTTCCCGCTGAGCAGGGAGCCCGACGCGGGGCTCGATCCCAAGACCCCGGGATCATGACCTGAGCCAAAGGCAGATGCTTAACGACTGAGCCACCCAGGCGCCCCTAGAGCGTACTTTAAAAAAAAAAAAATAAAGGGGCGCCTGGGTAGCTCAGTCAGCTGAATGTCCAACTCTTGATTCTCCTCTGCTTTGGAGGTGCATGTGAACTCCCATCTGCATGAAGACAGCATTCCTGACAGTTCTCTGGCAGTATAGCTTCTCTGTGGGAAAGTTCTAAGGATGTAGCTGAAAGTATCTAATGGCCTTCCCTCGTCCGGTCCCCCTTCTGCCCAGTAGTTCACAAGAGCAAGAGAGTTGTTTGTAGTTCCAAGACAAGAGAAACAACTGACCTTGTCCCCATAAGGCTGAGTCTAAGTCTTAGACCAGCCAGGGGTGGGCAAGGGATGGGATTAGTAGACCCTGACAGCTGGCCCTTCAGAAAGACGAAGTAGATTGGGGCAGAGTGACAAGCTGCAACTACTTCTGGCACCATCTGGAGTATATTTTACTAAACACTGCAGCTCAAAGGGGTGCTGTGGAAATGGGTTTAGTAAAAGAAACAGACCCACACACAAGGGAAAGAGCCTGGACCCCCCAGACACCATGATGGCGGGGCTATAAGAGTCAGTACTAGGGGCAAGTGCAAATATGTCATGGGAAGACTGGAGAAACCAGGAGGTCACACTCAAGTCCAACCAGTTTTTCTCCTTTCTTTTGCACAGGACCACATGGGACTCTTACGGCGAGGTAAGTATGTCTCCTGTTTTTAAAGATTAAGCCTTAGCTGCTGTATATATGGATGGATTGTCACCTCCTTAGGTCAAGCCATTCTCAAGTCAGATCTGGACAGTTGAATGGCCTTCTAACTGGCCACCCTCCTGTCTCCCCTCTACTCTTATCCTCCACACTGACATGTTTTCCTAAGGTATCACTCAAGTCCTGTGTCTTCTCTACTAAGAAAACTTGAAGGGCTGCAAGATCAAACCCAAACCACCTTCTCCTCCCCAGGCTGGCATTCTTAAATGGGACCCACTATAGTCCCATCCTGATCCATCTACCACAACCTCTTTTCACACCATTCCTAAAGCATCTCATACCTCCCCTTCGTCTATTTTTTCACCTATTTTTTAAAGATTTTATTTTATTTTTTTTAAAAGATTTTATTTATTTATTTGAGAGAGAGAATGAGATAGAGAGCATGAGAGGGGGGAGGGTCAGAGGGAGAAGCAGACTCCCCGCCGAGCAGGGAGCCCGATGTGGGTCTCGATCCCGGGACTCCAGGATCATGACCTGAGCTGAAGGCAGACGCTTAACAACTGAGCCACCCAGGCGCCCTAAAGATTTTATTTTTTAAAACATTATTTATTTATTTGAGAGAGAGACAGTGAGCACGAGTGGGGGGGAGGGCAGTGGGAGAGAGAGAAGCAGACTCCCCGCTGAGCAGGGAGCCCGACTTGGGTCTCCACCCCAGGACCCAGGATCATGACCCAAGCTGAAGGCAACCGACTGAGCCACCCAGGTGCCTAAGATTTTATTTTTTATTTATTAAAAGATTTTATTTATTTATTTGACAGAGAGAGACACAGCAAGAGAGGGAACACAAGCAGGGGGAGTGGGAGAGGGAGAAGCAGGCTTCCTGCAGAGCAGGGAGCCCGATGCAGGGCTCCAGGATCATGACCTGAGCTGAAGGCAGACGCTTAACAACTGAGCCACCCAGGCGCCCCTAAGATTTTATTTTTAAATAATCTCTACACCCAATGTGGGGTTCGAACTTACAGTCCCAAGATCAAGAACCACACTCTACCAACCAGGCGTCCCTTTCCTTCATCTGTTTGAATCCTATCCTTCAAAGCCTGGCTTGAGTACCATCTATTCTGAAAATCCTTCCCAGGTGTGGTCTGAAAGAGGAGAGGCTGTTGGTTTGAGGAACAATGGGACCCAAGTGGTATTTAGGGAAATGAATCCACACTTCCTTAGCAAGGCCTTCCTGGTCTCCCCACCTCACCCCAAGCTATGTTGATCTCCTTTTTCACCTCTCAACTACAACAGTTACCATGTTTTTCTTCCCCAAGCCCACTTTATTGAGATAAAATTGACACATGACATTGTGTAAGTTTAAGGTGTACAGTGTGATGATTTGATACATGCATATATTGCAAAATGTTTACCACAATAAGGTTAGTTAACACTTCTTTCACTTTACATAATTAACCATTTTTGTGGTGGTGGTGTTGAGAACATTTAAAATCTACTCTCTTAGCAACTTTCAAGTATGCAATACAGTTCAGCATCATTAACTATAATCACAGTGCTGTACATTAGATTCCCAGAATTTATTCTTCTTATAAATGGAAGTATGTATGTACCATTTGACCACCATCTCCCCATTTCCCCTACTCCACAATTCCTGGATAACTACCAATCCACTCTCAGTTTCTATGGAGTTTGGCTTTGTTAGATTCCACCTATAAGTGATATCATACAGTATTTGTCTTTCTCTGTCTGACATATATCTCTATATGTAGATACAGATAGAGATAGTGACAGGTGATATACATATCTATCTATCTATCTATCTATCATCTATCTATCTAGAGAACTAATATAAGGTAAGTTGAGAACAGATTATGGAAGGCCTTGAATGCCATGCTGAGGAGCTGAATTTTACAGAACATTTTTAAGCAGGTAAAAGATAAAATTAAGAGGGTGTTTTAGGAAAATCAATCTGGTACTGTGCAAAATGAATTAGAGAGTACAGTTTGGGCCCAGAAAATCAGTGAGGAGAATATTTCAGTAATTCAGGGGTAAGGAAATAATAAGAAGCCAAAGGTGGTATCAGTTGCAATCAAAAAGAATGTGAGAAGCATTGTAGAGGAAGAATCAACAGGACTTGGCAACTTACTGAATGTGATGGAAAGGAAGGCGAGTTGTTGAAGATGGCCAGAGCTTCAAGCCTCTGCAACTGGAAGAATATGTTGCCATTCTCTCATGTATTCACTTGGCAAGCATTTACTAAGCATACAGTGGGCACAGAGATGAGTAGTAGAGAAATACCTGTCTTTAGAAGCTCACAATCAAGTACACTTACAGCCAGGTAAAATGTGAAAATGTCTTAAGAGAGGTACAAATGCTATTAGTTTCAGTGTGAACGAACCACAGAGAAGAGTCAGAAGGAGGACAAGTTGCAATGCAGGGGGTACTGCAAAATAATACCTGCTCTATAAACAGACACACTCTGCATTTTCCACACCAAGTGTGAGACGCAGATAAAGATCTTCTGCTTCATTACATTCCGATGGTTGGGCTTGGGAAGGGCTGCCAAATTTCAGCATTGAAAATACAACATATGCAGAGTCTTCTGGGGAAAAGGAGGGGCTGAGTTGGGCCTCAGAGGGAAGTGGAATTTATTTATTTTTTATCTTTTAAAGATTTTATTTTTATTTACTTGACAGAGAGACACAACGAGAGAGGGAACATAGGCAGGGGGAGTGGGAGAGGGAGAAGCAGGCTCTCCACCGAGCAGAAAGCCCGATGCGGAGCTCGATCCCAGGACTCTGGGATCATGACCTGAGCTGAAGACAGATGCTTAACGACTGAGCCACCCAGGTGCCCCAGAGGGAAGTGGAATTTAGATATTGATGGATATTGCTGCTGGAATCCAACAAGGAAGGCCAGACACTGACTTCATAGAACCATAAAGCAGGAGGCAACATTTCATACGTTTGCCCACTTCCTTGTTTGTTATGGGTCCCAAAAGGGTTGAAAAATGAAGGTGGGTGGAGAGAGGGAGAGACAATGATATATACCACATTCCTGTATTAATAAAGAGCTTGTCTTAGCAAGCTTAAGTTAGAGAACCTCTTGGTACATCTTTATGGAGTGTCAACCCTCCTCCAGGCTCTACGATGGTAAATGACTATTGACTCAGTTATTCGGGGCTGAATTGAGAATCTAGTTTGTGGATTAACTGAGTCCCATACGTTTCCTTCTTTATTCTTCTGCCTTTTGGGCAATACATTACTTATTAGAATTTCCACCACAGGGTGGGAGTAAAGAGAATATTAAATCTTAAAAACTGGTTACGTTACAGAATTTGGGTAGTGTGGCGATTAATGCTATCAAACAAGAGGTATAGCACTTTTATATTTACCACAAACTACTGGGGTTTAACTAACTTCACAGAAAAATGGCCTCAGAGTACATCATTATTTTACCCAGTATTACAGGGTGCCCTTAAACAAAATGGCAATTTCACTCGCGTTAACAGGATGCTAACGCCGCACAGATGTAAAGCATTGCTTGGACACCCGGCAGGGCGGGCACGACTTAGTGCTAAGGGTTCTGAAAGGCTTTTCAACTAGTCACGCCCTTCTCAAAGATGGCCGGCTTCACTTCCCTTACGCAACACGGACGTTTCCAATCGCTTCCTAAGAATTGGAGGGGAATTTAATTCAGTACTGCTTGCCTGACTAAAGTCAAGATGACAACAACATCCTTTTAAATTTTAGAGGAATCTAAGGTATTTATTTTTTCTCCCTCGGTGAAAACGGTCCCTGGCGTTTGGCTCTTGCTTTTGGAGGCGTGGCTGCCAGTAGTTAAAATGGCTCCTCCTTGGGATAGCTTTAATAGGAAGTGAAGCTGTGACGGCGAGGCGTTGCCCGGCTGCTCTCTGGTAGGCCTTCTCGCAGCGAGTTCCTTGTGCCCTTACTAGACATGGCGCTGGCCAGCGTGTTGGAGAGGCCGCTACCGGTGAACGGGCTCGGGTTTTTCGGACTCGGGGGTCGCGCGGATCTGCTGCACCTGGGTCCAGGGAATCCCAGCGATGGGCTGAGCCTGGCCGCGCCCAACTGGGGTGTCGCGGAGGAGCCCAGAATCGAAATGCTTCATGGAACCACCACCCTGGCCTTCAAGGTGCGGACCTAACCGCCGCGCCGGGCTGAACCCCGCGCGCCCGCGCCCTCCCCTGCCTTCCCGGCCTTCCGGATGGACCGGAGCCCGCGGAGGCCGCGACCACGGAGCCTAGTGGGAGCCTCGGGCCTGTCCGCCCGACCCCGGTGGTTTCGCTGTCTCATTGCCCCGAGAGGCCTCTCTTCTCGGTCTAGCCGTAGGACCGTGGGGCTGAGGTGAAGGGGGAGAAGAAACTCGACGCTGCTTGGGTTGATTCCGAGGCAACCCCCAGGTGGCTCCGGTCCAGGAAAGGGGAGGCCTCAAAGCAATGAATATTGGCAGAGGAAAGGATGTTTAACCATTAACTAAAGGTTATAGAAACCGGGTCCCTATTAGGCGAGGGTAACTGAAAAGCTATGTCTTTTGAGGGGAAGGATGGTGGGAGGGAACACTGTAGTAGGAGCCAGACAACTGGGATTCCTGATCCAGTTTTGCAATAACTAGCTTTACGATCTTGGGCAGGTCATTCGATCTCAGTGAACCCGTTTCCTGATCTATAAAATGAAAAATTGAAGTTAATACTGGTCACACCCATGTCGAGGGATCGATGTGAAGCTTAGTTGATATCAGTATGTGAAAGCATTTTGTGAAGTGTAAAGGACAGAGAAAGAGATGTTCTGGTTTTCCACTGATGCAAAAAGAAATGTCAAGGAGATGTTTCTGTGGTCTGATGTGGCCTGCTTTGTGTTTTCCTCTGATCTTAACAGTTTCAACATGGAGTCATTGTTGCAGCGGACTCTCGGGCCACAGCCGGTGCCTATATAGCCTCCCAGACAGTAAAGAAGGTGATAGAGATCAATCCCTACCTGCTGGGCACCATGGCTGGGGGCGCAGCGGACTGCAGCTTCTGGGAGCGGCTGTTGGCTCGGCAATGTCGCATCTATGAGCTTCGAAACAAGGAACGCATCTCGGTAGCAGCTGCCTCCAAGCTGCTTGCCAACATGGTGTATCAGTATAAAGGCATGGGGCTGTCCATGGGCACCATGATCTGTGGCTGGGATAAGAGAGGCCCTGGTGAGTTATGCTGCACCTACATGGTTTTTGGGCTGGCACTACAGAGAGGAAGGGTTGGATGAACAGGTGAAGGAAAGGTCTTTGTGTCAGTGCTGAGGATGTGTTGATTAGGTTCTCTGCCCTTTCTTTTTGTTCAAGGAAGGCACCACAGCGTAGGGGAGGGCATGGAGCTTAGACTAGCTGTGTCATTGACTACCCCATGTGACCTTACTTTGGCTGCTCATTTTCCCAGTCACTTTCATCATCTGTTAGGTTGGTTAAATGAAGTAATACACATAAAGCATGTACTGTCTGGCACATAATGTTTCTCCTCTTCTCTCTCCCATAAAATGATAAGACCTACAAAGAGTGTATTTGAATATTAAATTGGATAATAGACATAAAAACTCCAGTCAGTGCATTCTAATAAAAATATAATGGTGAGCCACACATGTAATTTAAAATTGTCTAATAGAGGGGTGCCTGGGTGGCACCGTCGTTAAGTGTCTGCCTTCAGCTCAGGTCATGATTCCAGGGTCCTGGGATCGAGCCCCGCATCGGGCTCCCTGCTCTGTAGGAAGCCTGCTTCTTCCTCTCCCACTCTCCCTGCTTGTGTTCCCTCTCTAGCTGTGTCTGTCTCTGTCAAATAAATAAATAAAATCTTTTAAAAATAAATAAATAAATAAAATTGTCTAATAGAGGGAGGGGCACCTGGCTGGTCAGTCAGTGGAGCATGTAACTCCTGATCTCAGGGTGGTGAGTTCAAGCTCCACATTGGGGGTAGAGGTTACTTAAAACAAAAAAAAATAATGACAATTTTTTTTAAGATTTTATTTGAGAGAGAGAGCGTGAACGAGCATGAGCGGGGGGAGGAGCAGAAGGAGAGGGAGAAGCAGACTCCCCACTGAGCAGGGAGCCTGATGTGGGGCTCGATCCCCAGACTCCAGGATCATGACCTGAGCCAAAGGCAGACGCTTAACTGACTGAGCCACCCAGGCGCCCCAATAACAATTTTTTAGAATTGTCTAGTGGACATATTTAAAAAGTAAAAAGATGGGGACATTGTAATGATTCATTTAATACAGAATACCTAAAATAATATCATTTTGGCATGTGCCTTAGCCCCATTTCAAGTGCTCAGTGCCACATGTTGCAAGTGGCCCCTGTACTGGACAGTGAAACTCTAATATACAGGAAGTCAGTCATTTCTCTTCCTTTTTTCCTTTAGGGAGTCTTTGGCCTAGAAGGGGCCTTTAGGGCTCATCCTTTTCTTGCTTGATAGATTCACCCTAGGACCCTAAGTCCCGTTCTGTCATCTCTGAAAATAAATTCCTTAGTCTTTTTCTAGTATATAAAAACCTTGCCAGGAAGTTCAACCTTGTATCTGATGTCAGTTCCTTTTCAACCAGTTGTGGGGTTTTTTTGGTTTTTTTTTTTTTTTAAGTTTTACTCACTTAAGTAATCTCTACATCCAACGTGGGGCTCTAACTCACCACCCTGAGATCAAGAGTTGCACACTCCACAGACTGAGCCAGCCTGGCACCTCAGCCTTTCAACCGGTTTTGGATGTCTCTTTATCAAGTTGGAATACAGCTAGTCACTTTCTGTATAATATTCCCCCTCCATGCTTGAGTAGTTATTATTCCCTTTTGTTTTTGCTTCATTCATTCACCTGCTTACTGAATGCCTAGTTTTCCTCTGTCGAACAACTAACTGCAGGATACCCAGCACTTTTCCACTTGCTTTGGAGACTCTCAGTTCACTACTCAATGGAGATTGAATGAGAAGATTAAAAAGTGGATGTGAGAGGAGCGTAGCTTGTTACTTGGGAAATTGAGACGCTTTTTTGGGGAAAGTGTAAAAGAACAGCTCCATACATTTTATGCGGCCCAGGGAAGCATTTTGGAAATGTTGCTTTGTACCCTTAGCTGATGGAAGCGGTGTACGAGAGTATAGATGCTGGCTAGCAAGGAAAACCCGAGAAGCTAGAGCATAACCTAAATGGTGCCTTTTCAGGAACCTTCCTGACAACCTGTCCCATTTAGGATGAGTCAGCCCCTTACCTCAAAAAGCAGATGACTGAAAAAGGATCACAGGTTACTTAACATGAGCCTAAATGAGATGAATGCCATTTGTAAAAGAACTGATATGATGCTGAGGGAGTTTTGAGGAAGAAGGGATTATTTCTGATGGGAGGAATTGGGACGACTTCATGGATAAGTGGCAGTTGTCCAGGATGTGCAAATGAGAGAAAGGAAGCGTGGTGACCAAAGGTGGGGGGACGAAGCGTGCGCTTTGGGGGGAATAACCGAAAGCCCAGTTTGTTTGTTTGTTTGTTTAAAATATTTGAGGGAGGGAGAGGGCACGTGCACACAAGTGGGGGAGCGGCAGGCAGAGGGAGAAGCAGGCTCCCTGCTCAGCGGGAGGGACTGTGGGACTTGATCATGTGGAACTTGATCCCAGGACCCTGGGATCATGACCTGAGCTGAAGGCAGATGCTTAACCGACTGAGCCACCCAGGCACCCCCGAAAGCCCAGTTTAATCAGAACTAAGGTTGTATGAAGAGGAGTAGTGATCCATAGAGCTGGAGACCTAAACTGGAACCAGGTAGTGAGTTCGCTAGGCACGGTAGTGGTGATGGGACCGGGGAGGGCTCGTTTGTGGTAGACATTGGAATCCTTGAACCTGAAAACTGGTAAGCATTTGGTTCTCAACTGGCTTGCTTAGAATCACCTAGAGAACTTAAAACACAAGTCCCATACTTGTTCTCCACCCCAGACCAACTGAAAAAGAATACCTGGGGTAAGTCCTGGGCATCTTTTTTAAAAGCTTTTAGGTGATTCTGATGTACAGTGAGAGTAGAAGATTAACGATCCCATTGGCAGGCAAAATCTGAGAACACGGGAGGCAGTGTGGGCTGGTGGAGCACGAGAGAGATGAGTTTGGTTGGTAATGGAGAGCCACTGAAAGTATTTGAGGATAGGAGGTTTGAATCTGAACTTGGTCACAAAGGCATCCTGTTGGGAAGGTCCAGCAGGCAGTTGGAATTGATAAAAATTTTCATCTATGCTAAAAATTAGCTAACTTCTTCATAAAGGGCCAAATAGTAAATAATGGAGGATTGCAGGCCATATGGTCTTTGTCTCAACTACCTAACTCTCTTGCTTTAGCACAAAAGCAGTCATAGACAGTATGTACACAAATGGGTATGGCTGTGTTCCAGTAAAACTTTGTTTACAAAAACAGGCAGTTGTCTTGGCCAACCCCTGATCTATTACCAGCACTGTCCAATGGAAATAAAATGTGAGCCGTATGTGTAATTTTAAATTTTATAGTAGCCACGTTTTAAAAATTGAAGATAAAGGAAGAGAAATTAATGGTATATTTTATTTTGAAGTGCCTGGGTGATGCAGTCAATTAGGCATCTGACTCTTGGTTTCAGTTCAGGTGGGATCTCAGGGTCGCACTCAGCATGGAGTCTGCTTAGGATTCTCTCTCTGTCCCTCCACCCTGTGTGTGTACACACTCGCGCACGTGCACTCTCTCCATCTAAATCTTAAAAAATAAAATAAATCTTAATAATAATATATTTTGTAGATCCAGAATGTTATCATTTCAGCACGTGGTGCCAGCTTCATTTCAAATGCTCAGTGGTCACACATGGCTAGTGGTTCCCGTATTGGACAGGGCAGGTCTTTGCGATATGATTTGGAACTGTAGGCTCTCTCCCTACTGCATGATGTATGTCTTGCCCCCTAGATAGCCTAAACTTTGAGGGCTAGGATTGTTTTCTTTTTTTTTTAAGATTTTATTTATTTGGGAAAGAGCACGAGGTGGGGGTGTAGAGGGAGAGGGAGAAGCAGCCTCTCTGCTGAGCGGGGAGCCCAACACGGAACGAGGTCCCAAGACCCTGGGATCATGACCTGAGCGGAGGGCAGAGGCTTAACTGACTCAGCCACCCACGTGCCCCAGGGCTAGGATTGTTTTAAACATTATCTTCCACAGTGCCTGAAGTTCTATGCTGGAAACCTCTAAGTCACAGGATTGAGCTCGAATCAGGCTCCTTGCTCAGCAGGGAGCCTCCTTCTCCCTCTGCCCCTCCCCCTGCTTGTGCTTGTGCGCGCTCTCTCTCTCTCTCTCTCTGTCAAATAAATAAAAATAAAACCTTAAAAAAAAAAGAAACCTAAGTCATTTGGATTATACTTGTTTTTTGGTTATACAGCGAGGACAAGAAAGCAGTTAGAATGTAAGGTGAGATGAGGTGGTATGTTGTAGAATCCAGGAGTCTTAATATTTAATTTGATTCCTTCAGCTATTTTTTTAATAGACTTTATTTATTTGACAGAGAGAGAGCACAAGCAGGGGGAGTGGCAGGCAGAGGGAGAGGGAGAAGCATGCTCTCCACTGAGCAGGGAGCCTAATGTGGATCTCAGTCCCAGGACCCCAGGATCATGACCTGAGTGGAAGGCAGACGCTTAACTGACTGAGCCACCCAGGTGCCCCCAGCTGTTTTTTTTGTTTTAAGTAATTTAATAGAAGTACTATTTTCTTGTATATCTGTTGGTCTTCCCTGGGTTTCAAGAGGGATGGAGAACTCTTCTTGGAGAATGAATTATATGTCAGAAGTGATGGTCATTTTTTCCCTGCTAACCTCACCTCTCTTTCCAGGCCTCTACTATGTGGACAGTGAAGGAAACCGGATCTCGGGGGCCACCTTCTCTGTAGGTTCTGGCTCTGTGTATGCTTATGGGGTCATGGATCGGGGTTACTCCTATGACCTAGAGGTGGAACAGGCCTATGATCTGGCCCGTCGAGCCATCTACCAAGCCACCTATAGAGATGCCTACTCAGGAGGTGCAGTCAACCTCTACCACGTCCGGGAGGATGGCTGGATCCGAGTCTCCAGTGACAATGTAGCTGATCTACATGACAAATATAGTGGTTCTACCCCTTGAAAGAGGGTGGATGTGGCTGCTTGCATTTCATGGGGGGACTGTTGCTGGTAATGTGGTTATAGCTCCCTATCCTCTAGTGGAAGGGTCCTCAATTGTATTGATAATTTTTTTAAGCTCTGGTGCCGTTGACCTCTATGTGTTACTAGTTGTTAATGACCTGCCGCAGAGGTGATTTTACTTTCTTGGATGTTAACATTACACTACTCGACCTCAGCCTGTGTTGTGTCTTTTGTCCACACTGTTCCTCCTCCGAGCACTTTACAGCCAAATAAGCCAGGACAGTGGGAGGGCACTGACTGTAATTACAGGAAACAGTGATGTGAAGACATTGTCTAGTGAATACATTAGCATCCCCACTCAAGAAGCTAATAACAAAGGAGAAGGAGAGAGAGGCAGGGAGGAGGGAAAGACTTCCCGACTCTGTTTGCAAAGAGATGAAAAGTTGATGAGGTGGAAAGATGCACAGGGCCGAACGAGGAGGAGCTGCAGAGGGAAGAGCTCTCCCCCTGCTGTGGGGGAGGGGAGGCCAGTGCTGCGCGCAGAGCACAAAGGTGAAGAGGGTGAATCTTGAACCTTAAACCAGTTGGGAAGGGAAGGTTTGGACCCTGGGAAAGAGGACAAAGAGGTGGGCGTGAAGGAGGTAGTGACCTCAGCTCGGCGGTCCCTGGCCTTTTGGCTCTCCGGTGTGTGCATGTGTGGGGGACAGAGCGGTTGATGGTGGGCTCAGCCTCCTGGACAGGAGGCAGCACAGAACTGTCACTGGCACGTGTGGGTGGGGAAGAGGCCCTGCTGAGAGCAGAGCGATGGTTGATTTATCGCACCCAGCACTAAGGGGGTTCCCAAGCTACGGTGGCAGCAGACGGCAAGGCCTTCTGTTAAAGAGAAGACCTAAGCATAGGGCAGGTAGAAGAGGTTGATGGGAGAAACCTTTAAAAAAATGGGAGAGGAGGATATAAACAGTACTGCTTTGTTTTTAGTGAGCGAGAAGGGACGAAGTGGCTGGTGAGGGTGACAGCCCAGCATCCTAGTTTGAGGCTGAGGGGTTTGAGAAATTGAGGGGGTAAGGCCTCCTCTCCCCTGGGCTGCGGATACCTTCCCTTCCCCCTCAGCCTCCTGCAGTCGTGTATTGATTGATGAGGGCTGTCGGCCAGGAACTGATCGAGGCTTGTTAATTGCATTTGTCAGATGCAGGGAAATTGGGAATTAGTGAGATTGGAGCAGGGAGTTTGGAAAACAAATGACTCTGGTGCCTGAGGAGATTCATTTTGCTGAAAAGTGCCTCAGGAGCCCCTGGAATCAGGGAGCTGCCAGGGCTAGCCAGGACCTGGGCCTCCTCTCCATGAGAGGCGGGCAGGAGCCACCAGCCAGTGGTTAGCTGTGTTCTCAGGTACAGTGGTCCTCTCAGGACGCTGGTTGGCAGACCTTTGTTACAAATTAGAACCTTAGGGGCACCTGGCTGGCTCAGTGGGTGAAGCATGCAACTCTTGATCTGGGGAACATCAGCTTGAGTCCCACGTTGAGCATAAAGCTTGTGTTAAAAAAAAAAAAATCAGAACCTTGAAAAAAAAACTCTTGAGAGAAATTCTAACACCTGAGAGAAATCAAATCAGGTTGAAATAGAGTTGGGGGGGGCGCCTGGGTGGCTCAGTTGGTTAAGCGACGGCCTTTGGCTCAGGTCATGATCCTGGAGTCCTGGGATCTGCATCGGGCTCCCTGCTCAGCAGGGAGTCTGCTTCTCCCTCTGACCCTCCCCCCTCTCATGCTCTCTCTATCTCATTCTCTCTCTTAAATAAATAAATAAAATCTTTAAAAAAAAAAAAAAAAGAAATAGAGTTGGGGGCTCCAGAGCCTCCACCACTGAGCCTCCTCCTCCATGGAGCCACGGCCCACAGCACCACCTCCCTGCCTCCATGGACCTTTATATATACACACTCCCTGGTACTCCTTGGAACCCAAAGGAACACAGTTTGAAAATTACTGCCCTGGGAAATAACCTTGAGGGTGGAAAGAGAGTTGAAGATTGGAATTCTTTTACTTGAACGAGCCTAGGACTCCTTAGCCCATGAAAGAAAATTAAGTCTGGAGAGAAGAGATGGTCTCGAAGCAGTGCTCCCCTTGTCCGGTTTCCGGCTCACGCCTGGCTTTGGCAGAGGTCTAGCTGTTTAACGTAAGTACCTATTCTGCACTGGCTGAGGCCTTATGAACATTCAGGCAAGAAAATGCACAACCGTCAGTCCCATGTTCTGTTCTACATATGCCCGTTTCTCTTCCTTCCTGGATCTTGGATAAAAGAAAGAATTAATGGAAGAGATTGATGTGTGGTAGGTTTTCTGGAGAGAAGGTAGAGCAGAGGTAGAGGAAAACTGCAAGTGTCTAGGCCCAGTTGTGGGCAGTTGTGGCTTCTTGCTGCTGAGTGCTGGTGAGTGCTGGTGGGGAGCTGGCTTTGCAGGGATGTTGTATGTCTCCGCTGCGTAGGGATGATGGATGCCACACAGCACTGGAGAGATTCTGTCGAGTGGAGTGGACCAGTTCAGGGACTCCCATCAGATTCATTTCCCAGTGCAGTCCTCTTGACAAAGGATGATGGAAAAGAAATTGCCTTAAATAGCTGGAAGATTAATTTCTCTCGGCAGTTCCCAGGCGTCCACGGGACAGGGCTCTTCAAATGATGTCTGACAATTTCTTCTCCTTCTACAGATAGCTCGGTGACACCAAAATCTGACTCCTCGGGGTAGGTAATGGGACTAATCTGATTAAAGAGAGAGCAGACACTCCTCGAGGCCTTGGGCTTTCTCTTGCTAGCAGGGAATGCTGTGGGGTAGAAGGCAGACGAGCCTTATAGCGTCTCTACACCAGGCAAGAGAGGGCTGTGGGGATGGGTGGGTAGAATGTTCAGGAGGGAAAGGGAAAGGTAGGCGAGGACATGGGGGGAGGGGGAGGAAAGGCACAATGAAAGGAAATCAGGGACCTGAGCATAATAGTTACTGAGTGTTCCCTCTTTAGGCAAAACCAGAAGGTCAATGTCTCTTGATATCCTCCTCAGCTCGCAAGTGAGAAAACTGTCAAAGCCATTTGGGGAGTGGAAGGTAACATCCTTTGAGGGAAAATAAAACAACTGATTTATTCTGGTCCATGGATTCCATGTGGTCTGTTAGGGGAGAGGAGCAAGAAGTGGGATGAAAAGGGAGTAAGGTAAAAAAAAAAAAAAAAAAAATGTGGAGAGAAACAAGGGGGATCAGTTCCCTTGTCAGGCGGTGAGGAGGAGGATTGGGTCAGTGAAGGAGTTACATGAGCATATCTGATCGGGTGAGTACAGTTAGGGTTTTTCATGTGGTTATTTGTGTTTCTCTAGAAGAGCCCCTCCTGCCAGGGCTATAGCAGGGGATGAGGTACTTTGAAACTGACCAGCAGCAGTGACCTCAGGACATGATTAAGTGCTTCATGATTAAAATATGCATGTATTGCAACCAAGCGACTCTGCTGTTTTTTGTTTCTTGTTTGTTTTCAAAATCCCAGTTTCCCTTCAGGAAGCCGGACTCATATCAGGAAAGCTTTAATTACAGGAGGCAAGGGGAGAGAGCGCACACAGCATCAGAACTGCTCTGACTAGCAGCTGCCTGACCCCGGCCGGCCCTCCTTCCCCGACCCCTCGCTCCAGTCCGCTCCAGTCCGCCGACCGTCCACTTTCCTGCAGCGTTCCCCAGGCCTGGCCTCTGAGCCAAGTTCTTGCTTCCGGGGCCTATGCCCCACTGAAGCATTTCAATAAAAACCATTTCTAAAATGTCCTGTTCGCAGTTGTTAGTGGGTCAGGCAGAAGAAATTCTGCCCACGTCAGCTTCTTGAGTTTATTTAACCCAACTCATTTCTCCCTGAAGCTTTTGCCTCTGAGTGAGGTGCCAAGCCTAACTTGGTACTTAAGCCTTTGTAATCCAGACTCCGCTGTCCTCAGTCATGACTATCCACCCTAGTTTATTTGAAGGGAAATAAGACACCATGGATTCCACCTCTTCTGATGCCTCCTCTCCGGCCCTCACCCCATCTGCTCAGGCTGCCTGCCCCTTCTCTCTATCCTCCCTCTGCTCGATTCCATGTTTTCTCTCTGCTCTCTCACTTTGTAAAAAATTCTCTTTACTTGCCTCCCCCAGGATTTAAATAAAAACCAATCAATCAATAAACCAAGTGCTGCGGTGGACTTTAATGTAACGAGAAAAGGTTATCACTAGCTGCGGGGTACGCAAAGCACTGGTACTGCAGAGGGAAACACAGATGGAATGAGAGAATGGGAGCTAGAGAGAACCAGAGACAAATGAGAGAAGCAGGAAAGCAAGTCCTGGGCAGCGAGAGTGAGAGTGAGCAAAGTAGAGAGGGAGCTGGGGACGTGGCAGGAGGATGGCAGGAGACAGTGATGGGCAGAGTGGCACTGTGGAAAGGGAAGGGGGGGCGGGGAGGAAAGGAGACTCCAAAGGACAGTGATCAAGAGAGTGGGCAGAGAAACGGGGAGGAAGGAAGCGGCTAGAAGCTAATGCACAGTGAAACATGTCCCCCTGGAGACAGATCATTTCTCCAGCCATACATAATGAACACGTGCCCCTCTGCGTGTTGCCCCTGTCCTGTCATAGTCACTTACGTTCCACAAGAATCTCTCCATGTGTCCCCTGCTTGTGTGAGGTTGGGAAGAAGGTTTGAGCCCTCAGAACCACCTTCTTAACCCAGCCAGGCCAACGACAGGAAAATAGAACTGTCTCACAAGAGGAGCTGGGTCACAGATTCAGTACCTCTTACCTTTTTGCTTTTATTTATTTATTTATTTTTAAAGATTTTATTTATTTATTTGAGAGAGAGAGAATGAGAGACAGCACGAGAGTGAAGAGGGTCAGAAAGAGAAGCAGACTCCCCGCCGAGCAGGGAGCCCGATGCGGGACTTGATCCCGGGACTCCAGGATCATGACCTGAGCTGAAGGCGGTTGCTTAACCAACTGAGCCACCCAAGCGCCCTACCTTTTTACTTTTAGGTTCGTGAAGAGACCCTCTCTCCCCTCTCGGCTCCGTACCCCCGGCCATGCCCATCACACATGCATAACTCATCCCATTTCTTTCTGTAATGCCCACAGGTCAGGGCCAAGGCTGTTCAAGTGGAAAGAGGAAGCCCACAAAATCCCAGAAAGACAGGAATAGCGGGTGCTCCCAGTGGGAAGGAAATAAGCAGCTCCA